GGAAATTTCTCCTTAGTTCTAGGTTGCTTCTCCCCTTGATTAGTTTCCACCCATTGTTTCTTGTCCTGCCCTCAGGTGCTTTGCAGAAGAGCTTGACTCCCTCTTCTTTGTGGCAGCCCCTGAGATATTGGAAGACTGCTATCATGTCTCCCCTAGTCCTTCTTTTCATCAAACTAGACAGTTCCTGCAACCGTTCTTCATATGTTTTAGCTTCCAGTCCCCTCATCCTCTTGGTTGCTCTTCTCTGCACTCTTTCTAGAGTCTCCACATCTCTTTTTACATTGTGGCGACCAAAACTGGATGAAATATTCCAAGTGTGGCCTTACCAAGGCATTATGAAGTGGTCTTAACACTTCTGTGAATTTCTGCGATTGTGATTTTTATTCAGCAGGCAGAGAAAGCAGGGCAAAAACTAAATTTCATTGAATGTCATTGCAATGACCGCGGCATTTTGCCATGAATTTAATGCTTTTATTCTCTTGTTACATTGAGCATTATGGAAAGAGCTGGGATCGCACCATGTGAAATTCTAACGGAATGTGATCTCTGCATTTATATAACATTGATTGATTGATTATGTGTCATCAAGTGGCTGTTGACCTTTCTCAACCACTTATATTTTTTGTATGACAATCTGTCCTTAATTTGATCCTTCAAGTCTTCCAATGGCCTAAGGTCCCCAAAAAATAAACTGTCTAATGGCTTAATAGGATGCCTGGGGTCATGGAACACGTAAAGACAGATTTCTTCTCTTCCCACCACAATCTGAACCACAAACCACACTACCACAGTTAGAGTCAACCCTAACTTAACAACTGCAGTGATCCCAGGGGTGGGATTCAGCCAGTTTAGACTGGTTCGAGCGAACCGGATGCTAATTTTACATTTGGTTCGCCGAACCGGTAGTTGCAAGGACTGGCTGGCCCCGCCCACCCCACCCTGCCCCTCTCAGGAGTCTCCACATGGCCCGTTTTGGACGCGAGGTAAGTGCAGGGCCCACGTGGAGGCTCTTGGAGGGCGAAAAATGGGCCTCCTGAAAGTTCTGGAAGTCCGAAAACGGGCCCGTTTCTGGCCTCCGGAGGGCCTCTGGAGCCCAGGGGAGGCTGTTTTCGCCCACCCGGAGGCTCAAGGAAAGCCTCCGGAGCCTGGGGAGGGCAAAAAACGGGCCTACCGGAAGTACCAGAAGTCTGGAATTGTGCTAGTGCATGAGCTAGTCCATGTGGAAGATCTTGAGAAGTTCTCCCCTGTCCTGTTAGAGGCTCGGTTTTGTCAAGTCCAACTCCTGCCCTCGACTCCACCTTCAAAAGTTCCTTTTACTTATGCAAGCTTTCCAAAGTTTCCCCCGTCCTGAGTCACCATTTTATTTCAGGTGCCCCTTCTGCGAGCGTTGCTGGCATGAATTTTAAAGAGAAGCCACTTGGGGATTAACCTATTGAGCAAAATACTATCTTTGGTGCGCATGCTAATAGCGTGTCACAGCTCTTTTGTTCTTGTTCCTAACTTCTTCGTCTTTTGCCGATCCTACACTATAATCAGTCCTCCCCTCTCTTTTCATCCTTATCTGCCGTATTATTATTATTATTATTATATAAAGTCATATTGGTTCTTTTTTTATTAGAGGAAGGAAATCAGTGGTGTGATGAATTAAGGCAAGGAGCTAAAAAGGCTAATCTGTACTTCCCTCCTTCATTCCCATAACCACGTTCCACCCAAGTAAAGACATTTTCCCTCTCCCCATTGATTTCGTGGTTTACTCCTACATTTTCAAGGAAGCAGTCAAGTTTTGGCAATTCAGGTAGTCCTCGAGTTACTGTAATTCATTTAGTGACCGTTCAAAGTTACAACGGCACTGGAAAAAGGGACTGCTTTTCACACTTACAACCGTTGAGAATCCACGTGGTCACGTGATCCAAATTCAACGCTTGACAACGGACTCATATTTTGCAGTGTCCTGAAGTCACGTGATCCCCTTTTGCGAACTTCTGGCAAACAAAGTCCACGGGGAAGCCAGATTCACTTAACAACCGTTTTGGATGCACTTACCTCGCATCCAAAATGGGCCACGTGGAGACTCCTGAGAGGGGCGGGGTGGGGTGGGCGGGGCCAGCCAATCCTTGCAACTATCGGTTCGGTGAACCAGATGTAAAATTAGCATCCGGTTCGCTCAAACCAGTCCGAACCGGCTGAATGAACTTAACGACTGCAGTGATTCACTTAACAATGGAGGCAAGAAAGGTCGTAAGATGGGGGCAAAACTCACTTAACAAATGTCTTGCTTAACGACAGAAATGTTGGGTTCGATTGTGGTCGTAAGTCGAGGACTACCTGTATATTACCATTTACATTGCACTTTAATTCCTGCTTAGTATTTATTTGCTGATTTTTGAAATGATGTTTGTCTTGTTGAATCTGGGAAGGGAATGGAAAGATTGTAAATTGAATTTTCTATAGTTTGAGGCCCTTAAGTTATATATATATAAAAAAGTAAGCAAACAGACAGCCAAAATGAGAAAAACCAGAAACTGCCAATTTCAAAGTTTCCTCAAATGAAATGAAGCTTGTGTTAAAAACAAGAACCGACTGAAGTTCATTTCTTTTTTCTTCCCCTCCCCATTTCTTTATCCTGGAGCAACAGAATAAAAGAAAGATAATTTGCTTTACTTCTGGTAACTTAATCATAGCTTTGAGGTTCTCATAATTGGTTTGCTATCAGAGAGGCCGACCCTAAGGATACTTCCTTGTCACCACTAATTATGACTGAAACTTTTTGTCAAATTAATAGTTTGAATTTTAATTCATGTTTTCCTTGGGATTTTTGAAACATGTAAAATAAATATAATGTGTTTTAAGGGCATCATTTCTTAGACTTTTCTAAGCAGAATATAAAAATTCTTTCCTTCCTTCCTTCCTTCCTTCCTTCCTTCCTTCCTTCCTTCCTTCCTTCCTTCCTTCCTTCCTTCCTTCCTTCCTTCTCTCCCTCCCTCCCTCCTTCCTCCCTTCCTCCCTTCCTCCTCCCTCCCTTCCTTCTTTCAATCTCAATATCCTTCCTTCCTTCCTTCCTTCCTTCCTTCCTTCCTTCCTTCCTTCCTTCTTCTTCCTTCCTTCCCTCCCTCTCCCTCTCCCTCCCTCCCTCCCTCTTTCACTCTCAATATTCTTCCTTCCTTTTTCCTTCCTTCCTTCCTTCCTTCCTTCCTTCCTTCCTTCCTTCCTTCCTTCCTTCCTTCCTTCCTCCCTCCCTCCCTCCCTCCCTCCCTCCTTCCCTCTCATCACTGTTTGCTTTGATGGCAGTAGCGCCTCAGACAGAAGGTCCCTACAGAGAGTGGTCAGGACAACTGAGAAGATAATAGGAAGCTCGCTCCCCGTTATTCAGGATACTGCTTATAAGTGTTACGTGCTTGGAGCATTGTTAGAGACCCCACACACCCACTTCATGGCCTGTTTTTGTTGCTCCCTTCTGGGAGGAGGTTTCGAAGTATCTATAGCAGGATTGCTAGATTCTGGAACAGCTTTGTTCCTTATGGCATCCATCTGGTAAATTCACAGGATTCTTTCCCCCCCGCCATGTATATGTATACATTCGAATTACACTGTGATGTTTCTCTGTGTCATATATGTGTTTGTAGATGGGTATATGCATAACAGCCAACTTTTGAGAGCTGAGAGCAATGAAATTTCATTTTAATGTATGCTGATTAGTGTATATTTTAAACTGACAGCAAAAGATTCTATTCTATTCTATTCTATTCTATTCTATTCTATTCTATTCTATCTGTTCTATTCTATCTATCCTATCCTATCCTATCCCATCCCATCCCATCCCATCCCATCCCATTCCATCCCCTATTCTATTCTATTATTTCTATTCTATTCTATTCCATTCTATTCTATCTATTCTATCCCATCCCCATTCCCATTCCATTCCCATTCCATTCCATTCCCATCTATATTCTATTCTATTCTATTCTATTCTATTCTATTCTATTCTATTCTATTCTATTCTATTCTATTCTATTCTATTCTATTCTATTCTATTCTATTCATTCTTTCCTTTATTCTGTTCTATTCCATTCCATCCCATCCTATCCTATCCCATCCCATCCCAAAAAATAACTGGTATCAAACTTGGTGCTGATGATTGACTAGCACGTGGGTGATCAATGTAGCTGAAAATTGTCTGTATCCAGGCAATTTAATCATTTTTGGCTTTGATTAATGGGATCTTTTGGGCTGGCAACTGGAAGCATTGATTACGGTGATAAGTTCCACATTTGTCACTTTGAGGCAACTTTTAACACCAGCCACTAATTTCCCATTAATTGGGCACTTTAACAAGCCATTCAAGGGGCTTCATCTTAGGCAGATATTTGAATGGTTTCTGTTTTTTTTTTATAGAAAACCAGGGATAACAGGGTAGAGTTTAAGGAGGACCCGCTATTTCAAGCACCCAGCCTGGCAGGAAGGAGGGATCAAGTGTGGAGCTAGCCTGGAATCACTGCACAAAACCACATACTTCCTCCAAAACCACTTGGAGGAAGGATAGACTTCCTCCAAGTTCCTCCATGTTATCTAATTGTTCCCAAGAGAAGGCTGCCAGACTGGGAGATTCCTGTATTATAGGCAGAACACAATAAAGTAGTTAGCTCAAACTCTGTACATGTGGATCTGGTTGTTTACACCAGACATGTATGTTATTATTGATATCTCTGACTCTTTTCTCCATGGTAGAAACATTCAGATCAGGATTTCCAATCCTGTAGCAAAAAAAGTTCTAAATTAGGGTAGTAGGGAATACTACTAGTAGCAAGGAGATGCATTCATCCATGTAATTATTTTTTGCAAATCACTCTACACATATGGCTTACAGTTTAACATGGACTACATATAACGCATTACAATAAATAAAAAAATTATTACGCTTATATAGCAATCGTCATAATAAGAAGCCACCACCCACACAATTTCAGTAATAAAAGGCCTTATAAAATCATAACAAATGCAGATTTAAAAAGATGAGTGTTTATTTGTTAATCTTGGAATATGAGGAATGACATCCGAGCTGGGCATCAGATGAAGTCACAAGATGTAATGGTATGTTGGATTGACCTTGAGAAACAGGAAGAAGAGCTGCAGCTTAGAGAGTGTCCAGATCAGCAGCAGCTGAATCTGCAGAAGGATTGAGGGAATAGCAGCGGTACCAATCAGAGCTGCTTCAATCTGTCTATCTGTTTTAAAAATAAATGAATTGTTGTTGTTAGTTGCAAAGTCGTGTCCGACCCATCGTGACCCCATGGACAACATTCCTCCAGGCCTTCCTGTCCTCCACCATCCCCCGGAGTTCATTTAAGCACACGCCGACTGCTTCAGTGACTCCATCCAGCCATCTCATTCTCTACTGTCCCTTTCTTCTTTTGCCCTCAATCGTTCCCAGCATTAGGCTCTTCTCCAGCGAGTCCTTCCTTCTCATTAGGTGGCCAAAATATTTGAGTTTCCTCTTCAGGATCTGGCCTTCTAAAGAGTGATCAGGGTTGATCTCCTCTAGGACTGACCGGTTGGATCGCCTTGCAGTCCAAGGGACTCGCAGGAGTCTTCTCCAGCACCATCGTTCAAAGGCCTCAATTCTTTGGCGCTCGGCCTTCCTTTTATTATTATTTTTTATTATTATTTTTTATTATAAACTAAAAACAAAAGACAGAAAGAAGACAATAACAAAACAAAATCACATACATACGTTTGAGGTTGATTCAACCCCGATATACATACAGTTCCTAAGTTACGTTACATATCATCATACTATAGATTCAATTAAATTTATCATATTTCATCTTGCACTAATTAGTCTTCTTGTATCTAATATTACCTTACCACTACCGAGACATAAGATCAAGATTCATTTCTCCTATTCCCAGAGATTCCCTGGTTCACCTGATCTGTTCAGTCTTTATTTCCTACTCCAGGACACAGACCCCAATATAACTCCAAAGGTGGCAAAAAATTTTGCTGCAGTCGTGGCTGAAAAAAAACGGGGGAAGAGATGGGTAACCCCTACGGCAGAGGATCACTAGTACTGACAGTACAGATTATATCTGAGGCAGTAGATGGTGTACTGTCGCATGATCTATTTATATTTGTAAAATATACTCCCCTTCTATGTGTATTTTAATTTGGTCTCTGACCGCAATAAAAGCTTACTTACTTACTTACCTTATATATATTTAGCTTACTATTTTCAACTCTGTGCTATATGCTTTCCTAACATCTACCTCATATCATTTTTACCTCTATCCATTTATACCATTTATCCCAGCCTTGATTAAATATTGATTCATGTCTATCTTTAAGAATATATGTTAGTCTATCACATTCTGCACACCACAAAAATTTGTTAATAATCATCTGGTCCGATGGTACTTCTTTCTCAATTCTTTGGCACTCAGCCTTCCTTATGGTCCGACTTTCACAGCCATCCATTGCAACTGGGAAAACCATAGCCCTGACTATACGCACTTTTGTTGGCAGGGTGATGTCTCTGCTTTTTAGTATGCTGAATAAATGAATACGTAAAGAATTAATTCTCTTTTGTTCCTTTGGATGGGGTAGCGCACCAGCAGAATCAAGTTAGGCATTTTCTGAATTTTTGACACATTGAGTCTAAAAAGGTTCACCATCACTGGAAGACACTCTCTATTCTCCAGAACGCATAATCAAGTCAGAAAAACCCTGACAAGTTTATCAGTGACTTTTCCAGCTCATCCTGATGCTGTAACAATTGATGACTCTTATCTGGTTCACAATATGCTGCCAATTATTGTCACCGCCTCCTTTATAACAATGATAGATGCTTCAGCTGTCCTGTTTTTAAATGAAAACAACTCACATGGAAATGGGCTTGTAGAAAAAACAAAGGCTTCTTGATTTGTCAACCCTTGTACGCAACTCCACCTGGATTGCTATCATACTGTAAGTCTTTGGTGGCTTCCAGAACAAGGCAATATATCATTTCAGTTGGTGGGAGCTTTGTTTTTTTTTCTAGCTCTCTCTCTCATTTGCGCTGGCTACATGCGTGCTTTACAGAAGCGTGTTTCCCAAAATTAATTCTTCATTGGAATGGAATGGAATGGAGTGAGTGGAGTTGAATGAATGGAATGGAATGAAATGGAATGGAATAGAATAGAATAGAATAGAATAGAATAGAATAGAATAGAATAGAATAGAATAGAATAGAATAGAATAGAATGAATAGAATAGAATAGAATAGAATAAGAGTTAGGGTTAGGTTAGGTAGGGTTAGGTTAGGGTTAGGGTTAAAGTTAGGGCAGGGCAGGCAGAATAGAATAAGAGTTAGAGTTTAGAGGTAGATAGAAGAATGAATGAATGGAATGGAGTGGAGTGGAGTGGAGTGGAAGAATGGAATGGAATGGAATGGAATGGAATGGAATGGAATGGAGTGGATGGAGTGGGTGGGGTGGGTGGGGTGGGTGGAGTGGAATAAATGGAATGGAATAGAATAGAATAAGATAGGGTTAGGGTTAGGTTAGGCAGGTAGGGGCAGGGCAGGCAGGGCAGAGCAGAGCAGAGCAAGCAAGCAGAGCAAGCAGAGCAAATAGAATAGAGTTAGAGTTTAGGGTAGGGTAGGGTAAGGTAGGGTAGGGTAGGGTAAATAGAATAGAATAGAATAAATAGAATAGAATAGAATAGAATAGAATAGAATAGAATAGAATTTTTTATTGGCCAAGTGTGATTGGACACACAAGGAATTTGTCTTCAGTGCATAAGCTCTCAGTGTACATAAAGGCTATAAGTGCTAAATCATGATCATAGCATCATGAAAATGAATTTAAAAAACCCACAGTAGAGCGAAGAACCAGTATATCTAGAAGTGGCGAGTTTGTTGAGTGTTGAAGGGGAAACCCAACTTCAGGGGTGTGCAGAAGAGCGTGAGAAATATTACAGGATGGGATGATGGGATTTCAGGAGAAAAGATGGCGATCCATTCTGAAATCCATATTCGATGACCAAATGATTTCAAACAATGAAATGGGAGCTTGCTTGCTTGAAGAGCTGAAAGCTTCTTTTGGGTTGGCCAGATGATGGAGAGGCAATTCTTTCCAATTAATTAGCTGGCTTGTTAGGGTACCAAGCCACGTGTCTCGCTCTCTCATCTCGTTCTTGACACATCTTATTATCACCGTTGGTGAGGTGCACTAGCAGCTTCGAACCTTGAAATCCAGAAAGACGGGTGACAGTTCAAAGGGAATATGGGAGCACCACAAAGACCTTGGCAGGCAATACGATTTCATTATTACCAACAAGAAGAGAATAGGTTCTCATTTTTGTTTGTGTCTCTGTATGATGAAACTGGGGCCAAGACAAGACAGGAGTTAGGAAATCCGGAAGAGCGGTGAAGAATAGAAGCAACGTAGGAGCTCAGACATTACAGGTTGACTTATGACCTAAATGGAGCCCCAAATTTCTGTTGCTAAGCGAGACAATTGTTCAGTGAGTTTTTAAAAGTGAGATTCAGATCTGTGGGGTCCTTGGTGCTTGTCTGAGCTTGGGTGTTTTCTTGCAGATGTTTTATGGTCCAACTAATTAACATCATCAGTGCAAGAAGGGGGTGGGCTGTGTGGAGAGGAGGAGGAGGAAGAGAGGAGGTGGTGGTGGAAGAGGAGGAAGAGGAAGAAGAGGAGGCGGAGGAATAACGTAGGGTCCTTGGTGCTTGTCTGAGCTTGGTAGTTTTCTTGCAGATGTTTTATGGTCCAACTACTGTAGGTAACATCACCAGTGCTAGAAGGAGGTGAGGAACAATGTTACTTCTTGATGTTACCTAGTTGGTAAATCTTCAAGGACCGCACAGATCTGAATGTGTTTACGGAATCATTTGTACGGTGCTGTAGTAGTAAGCATTGCTTTTAATTGACCAGATTCTCCTTGTTGTAGCTGTGTGGCAGATAAGCGACAACATGATATTCTTGAGAAGGATATATCTCTTTCCACTGAAGTTCTTGGATTATTTGGATGTTTGTTTCATAGTAAGACCCCTCTACACAAATAATTAGAGGAATGATCGTAATGAGGTTTCCTTTCGCAGAGTACATACGGTTATTGTTAACATTTCTCTTTGTGTTTGAGAGAATTTAATGTTATCCGACTTTGTACGAAATACAGAATGAGCCAAAAAGATTATAGAATGAGGCTGGGAGGGAAAGGGGGAATCTTGTCATCTGCTAATTTGACACGGCTTTTATTATCTATTGCATAAGACTTCTGAGAAGACAGATGGCAACCAAATCAGCAGTTTAATTGCATTTGGGATATTAGCTTGCAACGGTTTCACATTCTATAGAAAAATGTGCCTTCTGATCAGACAGCATAAGGCAAACGATAGATGAATGGTAGTAGAAGAATAGAATAGAATAGAATAGAATAGAATAGAATAGAATAGAATAGAATAGAATAGAATAGAATAGAATAGAATAGAATAGAATAGAACAGAACAGAACAGAACAGAACAGAACAGAACAGAACAGGGGATGGGGATGGGGATGGGGATGGGGATGGGGATGGGGTGGGATGGGGATGGGGATGGGATGGGGATGGGGATGGGATAGAATAGAATAGAATAGAATAGAATAGAATAGTAGAGTAGAGTAGAGTAGAGTAGAGTAGAGTAGAGTAGAGTAGAGTAGAGTAGAGTAGAGTAGAGAATGATAGGATGGGGTGGGATGGGATAGCAATAGCAATAGCAATAGCACTTAGATTTATATACCACTTCATAGTGCTTTACAGCCCTTTCTAAGACTCAGCATCTTGCACCCAATAATCTGGGTTTTCATTTTACCGACCTCGGAAGGATGGAAAGCTGTGCATTGAAGAGTTTGGACAGATATTATACCACTTTATAATGCCTTGGTAAGGCCACACTTGGAATACTGCATCCAGTTTTGGTCGCCACGATGTAAAAAAGATGTGGAGACTCTAGAAAGAGTGCAAAAAAGAGCAGCGAAGAGGATTAGGGGACTAGAGGCTAAAACATATGAAGAACAGTTGCAGGAACGGGTATGTCTAATGAAAAGAAGGACTAGGGGGGACATGATAGCAGTGTCCCAATATCTCAGGGGCTGCCACAAAGAAGAGGGGGTCAAGCAGGGGTGAAATGCTCCCGGATCGGACCGGATCACTCAGTCCAGTAGCGATCTTGGCTGGTGGTTCAGCGATCCGATAGCAATGTTGGAGTGAAGCTCCACCCACCTGCCGGGTGTCATTACTTCCTGGTTTTAACCAGGAAATAATGTGTTTTTATACCACAGAAGGTCCGTGCACACAGGTGACTTGTGTGGCACGTACGCTTCCAAACCGGTAAGGAAGATAAGTGGATTTCATCCCTGGAGTCAAGCTATTCTCCAAAGCACCTGAAAGCAGGATAAGAAGCAATGGGTGGAAACTAATCAAGGAGAGAAGCAACCTAGAACTAAGGAGAAATTTCCTGACAGTGAGAACAATTAATCAGTGGAACAACTTGCCTCCAGAAGTTGTGGATGCTCCAACACTGGACGTTTTTAAAAAGATGTTGGGTAACCATTTGCCTGAAGTGGTGTAGGGCTTCCTGCCTAAGCAGGGGGTTGGACTAGAAGACCTCCAAGGTCCCTTCCAACTCCGTTAGTCTATTCTAGATAGGCTTAGCCTGAATACAGGTAGTCCTCAACTTACAATTATTCATTTAGTGACCTTTCGAAGTTACTACGGCACTGAAAAGTGACTTAGGCCATTTTTTCCCACATTTATAACCCTGGCAGCATCTGCCTATTCCAGATCCTTGGGAAGGACTCGATAGGTAGACAAAAAAGAAATGCCAGTTGTAATTTGAAAATTGGGCTCCCGTGGTATGATCCATAATAACCCTTTGAATATGTTCTACCATTTCTTTAAACGTGCCTGGATTTCTTTCCTGTGAAAACTAAAAGTTTTTTTTATTATGAGAACATTCTCCAGGCTACGTTTACCCAGCAATGTTTTGTCTGCCTCCCCTGCCTTCCTCCCCGAAGGGCAGTTTGATATAAGTGGAGACGGGGGGTTTCCACTGATGCGCCTAGCAAAATAAACAGCTTTCCAGCATCTTCCTGCTAGCACCATAAAGGTCTATTGTCCTTGATCCCATCTCATCGTGTTTGTTCATTTGGAAAGATTCCTTCCTGCCCTTTATTTGGAAATGAAACAATGCAATTATTTGAGCATTAAATGAGTGGATCACATCAGTGGTGAAATTCAATTTTTTTTTACTACCGGTTCTGTGGGCGTGGCTTGGTGGGCATGGCAGGGGAAGGATTCTGCAAAATCTTCTTTTCCACCCCACTCCTGGGGGAAGGATATTGCAAAATCTCCATTCCCACCAGGGGTGGGTTCTACTTACCTTTACTACTGGTTCGCAACGGGATCGCTTCGCTTGCTCGCGCGCCTTGCTTCTACGCATGCACAGGTTGCTGATGACGACATTCGGGGTGGTGGGCGGGGCCTCCCACTGGTTTTACTACCGGTTCTTGCGAACCGGTCTGAACCGGGGGCAACCCACCACTGATTCCCACCCCATTCCTGGGGGAAGGATATTGCAAAATCTCCATTCCCATCCCACTCCAGGGGAAGGATACTGCAAA